GCCACTAGGGAGGCCCACTGGGCAGCATTTTTATAATAAAATGTCAGGATAAATGTCTACAACAAGGGAATAGATTAATAAATTATGGTAAGTTTCTAAAATAGATTATTGTTTAGCAATTAAAATGAATTAACTAGAACTACATGTATCTAAAACACGGAAATATGGGCCTCCCCGGTGGCGCAGCGGTTGAGCGCTGGGCTGCAAAGCTGCGCGCAGCTTCTGTGACGCCGGTTCGATCCCCGGCTGCTCCCTGGCCACCGGAGGAGGGTCCCACATGGCGCGCAGACCTCTCCTGCCGCCCGCTGCTCCCCTCAGCAGTGTACTTCGGTCCTTCTGCCTGCTCTGCTCCCTGCTCTGGCTCTGGTGAATTCTCTCACCCTCCCGCGCTTCTGACTGTACCCAGTGCATGTATAAACAAAACAAACAAACAAATAAATAAAAACATGAAAAAAAAATAAAAATAAAACACAGAAATATGATATTGAGGGGGGAAAGTTACAAGAAGGTATAATTCTTTTATTTAAGAGTAGAGAAACATGCAGAAAATACTCTGAATTAATAATGGACAGATACTAAGTAGAAAAAAAAAAAACATGTAAGAGAATGATAAATACCAAACTGGTACTTTACTATTTGATAAAGCTGGCTAATGGTGACCTGAATGTTTATTACCTTCTGTACTTTTTTATATTTGAAACTGTTATTTCATTTAAAAATAAAAATAAAACCCTGGATTGAGATCTCATGAGCCCACAGTGGCTTCCCATCTACTTTTTCTGTCTTCACTGTGATTCTTTCCTTCCGAAATTACTAAATTTGGCGGGTACCAGAAAGTTAATCTGCTTCAGAAGACCATCCGTTTTTGCATGCAACTCAGGGAGTTAACTAGAGAGAAAGGTAGAATCTCTGAAGTCTCTGGTCGATCCAGCCCTCTCTAGACAAATACTTCTAATCCCACTAATACACCTCAAAGGGGATATTGCTTCTGTGTTTTTTCTACTTAAAAAAATAGTTGCTCAGATTATTTTTGTTAACTAGACCTAAAGTAATAAAGTCTTAACTAGATTTTATTTTTTTTTTATTTTTTATGTTTTTACTTATTTATTTGTTTGTTTGTTTGTTTTGTTTATACATGCACTGGGTACAGTCAGAAGCGCGGGAGGGTGAGAGAATTCACCAGAGCCAGAGCGGGGAGCAGAGCAGGCAGAAGGACTGAAGTACACTGCGGAGGGGAGCAGCGGGTTGCAGGAGAGGTCTGCGCGCCATGTGGGACCCTCCTCCGGTGGCCGGGGAGCAGCCGGGGATCGAACCGGTGCTGCAGAGGCCGCGGGCAGCTTCTCAACCCAGCGCTCAACCGCTGCGCCACCAGGGAGGCCCCTTAACTAGATTTTAAAATATCATATACTTCAAAGTTCAAGGAAGCATTCACCTGTATATGTTGAATAATGGAGAGCAGTAGATATTTAGTTGAAAATCTTACTGCTAGGTAAAGATCCATGCTCTGAATTAGGGGCTTTGACATAGACTGAAATTGTATCTGCTTTAACATAACTTTTGAGAAAAGTAAGTCCAGACCAGTCAGTATCCTGTCTGGACCAAACTTACATGTACCCTGAATCAAATCTTATCCCCACATCTGAGCCAAATATCTGTCAAATGTGACCCTGATGCCTACCCTGACTGCATGCAAGAATCATGTGACAGATAAAAATAACTCCCTCTCTGCCTATGGCAGCATCTGAGAAAGAGCAGGGAGATGAGAGTTGGACTCTGGGCTGGGAAAAACTGTAGAGAAATAAAATGGTTATGGTGAACTTTGTCCTGGAGCATCTTTTCCTTTGAGGAATCTTTTTCTTTGTCAGCATTATGACTTTAAAGAACTAAAATCTTTTTCTTGCCAAAAGGAGCTGCCTCCTAAAAAAACCTGCTAAATTTCAATTTTAAATACTGGTAAATACAGTAATATTTTTCTTTTTGCCATTGAACCATTGGTAGGATCACCTTAGAATTCTCCCTAACTTAGCTCCCCAGAGCGTGTGTATAAAACTTGAATTCTAAGGGACAATTAGAAATTGCTGTTAGTTTCTGCAACTTGAAAATTTATTAGCAGTAAAAATAAAAGCTCCTGAAATTTAGTGTACATATGGCAGTAGCATTTGATTCACACTAGAAACGTGTCTATTTCATTAAAAAAATGCTTTTATATTTTTTTCAACTCCAGCTGACTCAATGTAATCATATAGAGGTGTTGGCATTGAATCCTTAAATTACTACTATTAAACAAAAGTTTTAAATAGATTGAGTTATTATGACTTTAAGTTAACTTGTAGCCTGAAACTTTGGTGATAATTTCCTTTCCTAAGCTTTAAGGAGAACAAATTAACTGAACAGTAACTGTTACAGAGAACTCTTCTCATCTTTCTTCACTTTGCAGATGAGAAAGGTGAATGATGGCCTCTATAAAACTTTCTTGACCAGCCTCTCCTCCCTGCAAGCCTGACAGCTCTCTTCCAGGCCCTGTCAGTGGAGATTCAGGGGAGAACACAAGTGACATGTCTTAGGAGAGATCTTGGTGTCTTCAGGCTGCCTGGGATCAGAGTACAGAATTGTCATTCCAGCCCAGGCTAGCTTGTTCCACTTGTTCACACAGCTTCATTGGTTAAGCCTAGAGTACAGTCTAGCTCGTTTTAGCCAGCTATAGATGCAATTATTTCTAAAAATGTAGAGAAGCAATTTAAATAAGAAAAGATACAGACTTCCATTTAAGTAAACCGAAAGCCTCTCAAATGGCAGAAGAATGGGCCAGGAAAATAAGCGTGTTGGAAAGAGAAGAGAAAAGAATTCCTTGACAGTAATTAGCAAAAATTAATTTCAAAAGATTACTCACCCAGGAGTTAGGGCTTTAAATTGGCTTCTGTCATTTCTATTATAAAATATTTCTTACACAAATAACAGGACAGCAGTAATAGAAAACAAGTTATAGCTTTCCAGGGTTCATCTTTCCCTTGTCTCTCATCCTTCCTGCTCTTACGAGAGACAGCTGTAAAATAGAAGAAGCAAAAGCTAAAAAGACATAACCTGACTCAAAAGCAAGGTGGATACCTTCATAAGCAGAAACAGATCTCAGGGCAGCAAGGGAAAGCTATAGCCTGTCTGACCTTGGGTGGCTGGTGGTCGGACCTGGAGTGAGGAGGGAGAGCATGCAGATGCAGTGCACATTAAAAGAAGGAATCAAGCCACCTTCTGACTCTGGTAGAAGCTTGGATTAGAACATTAGGTGTGGACGTTTTCACACGGTTAAGAACTCGAGGTGGGGGTAGAGACAATTATGGAGTCAAGTCATTAAACTCACTGTGAAAGTTTCCAGGAATCTGAGGTGGGGTCAGAAAGGATTCTCTGTTAACAGAAAAACAACCCAACCTGACCCCAAATCAATAAAATTTCACAAAGGAATGAATCCCCCCCATGGAACAGTATATAAGAATATCTCTTGCTCTGGCAAAACACAGATCCTGTCCCACTGCCCACCTGCCTCTATGCAGGCGTCTCTTTCTTAAACCTGCTCTCTTTAAAATACACCTCTTGGGCCTCCACAGTGGCGCAGCGGTTGAGCGCTGGGCTGCGAAGCTGCCCACAGCGTCTGCAGCGCCAGTTGGATCCCCAGCCACCGGCGGGGATCCCACATGGTGCGCAGACCTCTCCTGCTGCCCGCTGCTCCCCTCAGCAGTGTACTTTGTCAGTCTGCCTGTTCTGCTCCCCGCTCTGACTCTGGTGAATTCTCTCACCCTCCCACACTTCTAACTGGACCAGTGCTTGTATAAATAAATAGATAAATCTTTAAAAAAAAAAAAAAAATACAGCTCTTTGCGTGCCTATGTCTATGCAAGTGTCTCTTTTTCCTAATAAACCTTTAAAATGCAATTTGCTGTTTATATCTATGCAAATGTCTTTTTCCTTAATATTAACGTGCCATGTGCTGCTGAACAGGAAAGTCTGCTGAAATCTTTCTCAGAGGGACCCAAGAACCCCACTCACCCCAACAGCTTCACAGCTCTATCTGTAGTTTCACCTTGGAGCTGGAACCCTAAACGATCACTTTAAGACCTGACTCTGGAGACCCTGGTGAAAGTGGCCTCACAAGTAAGCCCTTCACCGTGGAACTTGAATTTACTTTAGATTAAATGAATTTTATAGAATGGCATGACAAAGAACTGCAATATGTTCAAGGTGTTCAAATAGTAAATGAAGGAATAAATTTTATTTTAAAAGAACAAAAAGTTACAGAAATAAAAACATACATAATGGAAATAGGTAGCTATAGTTGAACAAAAAATTAGTAATTAGAATACACTGATACATACCTATAACACATCAGAAAACTTGTAAAGGGCTGATGGGACATGTGGAGTTTATACTAAACGGGCCTCATTATGCAAAGCTACCTCTCTCCCCATCACTCTGCCCCTTTCACAAGCAGAATATCCTGGCTCGTGTTTTTGTTAACTTTACTGAGCGTCTGCTTACTGTCCTCGGCTGGGCATACAGTACACAGGCAGCCAGCGGCTGGGTATACAGTACACAGATAAAGTTTTATTCTCGTGGATCTTGTGTTCTGGCCTATTCATCACTGTCCCTCTGGCATCTACACTGTCCTCTGGCTTAAAATAGGCATTTAATGTATATTTGTTGAATGAATGAGTGAAGTAATTAATACCTCAAAATATCTTTGCTATGACTTCATAGCTTTGATTACCTTGCTCTGTTTGGCCAGCTTTGCAATGGGAAGGAAGACAGGGAGATGGGAGGAATTCTCGCTCTCAGAGCACACCCTGCTATTGGTCTGTGGCACACAGGAAACACTAGTGTGACCTCCTCAGACCTGGAGCCTGAACTGTGTCCTCTTGTGTTTTATTTCTGTGTTACAAACTATTCAAAAAGATTCCAATTGAGACCAGCAATATAAGCCAATGTTTTAATTTTTCTTTTTCATTTTTCAGGCTGGAGTAAAAGGGACACTGGGGAGATTAGTTGGAATTTTTGAGGTAAGTTAGACTTTCTGAATTAAAATCTTCGGTGCAATTGGTATATTAATAACCCCACACATCTTTGTCTTGGTCCATTCAGGCTACTATAACAAAACACCTTAAGCTGAGTGGCTTATGGTAGGAGAAACAGATTTCTTAGTTCTGGAGCTTAGGAAGTCCAAGATCAAGTACCAGCAGATTCAGTATCTAGTGTGCCCCCACTTCCTGGTTCATAGACAGCTGTTTCTCTCTGTTCTCACATGGTAGAAGAAAGAAGGTGGCCCTGTGTTATAGGGACCCTCTTTTGAGGGTCTACCCTCATGTCCTAATCACTTCCCAGAGGTCCCCATCTCCTTAAACCAACACATTGAGAGTTAGGATATCAATATATTCTTTTTTTTTTTTTTTTTTTTTTACCAACCACTTACATTTAGTATTTCTTTTCAATATATTCATTTTTAGGAGACATAACCATTCATTCCATTGTAATTTCAACCTAGAAAATGTACCATCTTTGTTCCACCAAGTTTTCAAAGCAAAGCAACAACAGCAGAGAAGCTAGTCATCTTTTTTTAAATCCTACACTCTCCTCCAAACTAGAAGTTTCCATCCTTACCTCTTCCATGCATCCTTTCCTCCCAAGATGTGAGGAAGGATAGATAAGTGTAGAGAAGACAGAGGGAAAATGTAAGTAGTAAAGGAGAGAGAAACAGGAGAATAGACTGATGTAGAGATTTGGAGGAAGATACAAGAAAATGAGAAATCAGGGATAAAGACAAACAGGGGTAGAGGTGCCTCCCCAGTGGTGCAGGGGTTAAAGTCTCAGAGCTGTCAAGCTGTCGCCAGCCACTGCAGCAGGAGTTCGATCCCTGGCTAGGGAACTAACCCACATGGCGCAACAGACCTCTCCTCTCTCAACTACTGCAGTATATTTCAGTGGATCTGCCTCTTCTGCTCCCCACTCTTTCTGGTGAATCCTGTCACCCACCCGCCCCCCCACCTCTGGCCTAGACCTCAGTTCTTATATGCATAAATAAATAAAAATAAATCTTTAAAAAGAAAGAGAGAGAAGCAGGGTTAGTTGGGAAAGGGGAGCAATACTAAATTAACAGCTTGCTTCCACTGATGGAAATCTCGCCTTTCTATCGCTTCTCTTTCTGATGATGTTCTGGCTAAATTTACTTGGTGCCTTTTGAGAGGTCATGAACTTCCCTTTCACAGCATTTTTGTGAAGTTACAGTTAAGGGAAGAGGAACAAAAAAAGAAAGTATCTCCTTGGCTTCAGAAGCCCAACCAGAGAGCACACTCTCAAATTCAAGTACATATGTAAACCATCCAGCTCTACTCCATGTGTGATTGTAGGATGATAAAAGATAAGGGATCCTTTCGTCTAAGCTCTCTGGACATAGGCATAATAAGGGTGTGTCTTTTAAGTAATCGTCTCTCTCTAAGGAAAAACTTCTCTGTCCTTCTCTCTTTACTGTTCAGAACCAGGAGAGGAAGCACAGAACGTATGTCTATGTGCTCATTGTCACAGAAGTGCTGGAAGACTGGGAGGACTCAGTTAACATTGGTAAGTCATCCCCAGATAGCCGCCAGAGACCTCCCTGCTGTTGGCCCTCGCAGCCACACAGGTCCTCACCCAGAACCAGAAATAAAAACTTGGTTAAAAATAAGAAGTTTTAGGGCCTCCCCGGTGGCGCAGCGGTTGAGCGCTGGGTTGCGAGGCTGCCCGCGGCCTCTGCGGCGCCGGTTCGATCCCCGGCTGCTCCCCGGCCACCGGAGGGGGGTCCCACGTGGCGCGCGGACCTCTCCTGCCGCCCGCTGCTCCCCTCAGCGGTGTGCTTCGGTCCTTCTGCCTGCTCTGCTCCCCGCTCTGGCTCTGGTGAGTTCTCTCGCCCTCCCGCGCTTCTGACTGTGCCCAGTGCATGTGTAAACAAGCAAGCAAACAAACAAACGAATAGGTAAATAGATAAAACATGCCTCTATTAAAAAAAAAAAAAAAAAAAAAAATAAGAAGTTTTAGAAAGATATGTTTAATAAAAGGAGCATGTCCACTTCATCATGGCCCATAAAAAATAAGAATTGTTTTTAAAGTCAAATCCGGTCCTCCTCCGCAGATCACGGGCCTCCCCAGTGCCAGGCCCACAGGCACACCGGGTGAGAGCAGGGTCTAGGTTACTCCTTGTGACACTGATTCACATTGTTGAAAAAAATTGTTTGTGGTACTAGCGCCTCCCCACAAAGTAGCGGGAGCAGTTTATTCCAAGGGCTGCCAGCTTTCTCCGCAGGAGCCATTTTCTTTGTGCAGATCACTATTGTGTGTGTGTCTTTTGAAGTAAAAACTGAGGTTGGTTCATGGTTTAATCTTTTGCCTTCGAAGAAAAGTTTTTTATAAGTATAATACTAATTTAATTTGTTTTTAAGATGGCAGACAGATAAAATTCACTTGCCCAAACCTCTCCCTTTAAATAGTTAGTGTGTACTTTGCCATGATGCCCCTCATGCTGTTTATCTGAGCATTTTAGAGCTCTCAGCTTTTAATGGGTTTGTATCTGGTAAGAACACCATATGCTTAAGTAAATACGTTTCGTGGGGGGTTATTAAAAATTGGCAGCCAGTGTTGGGGCGTGAAAAGGAGCGAGATGAGTGTGGGATGGCCTGTGCTCAAAGCAGTCTGTCGAGTGGGAATCACATACTCGTGATACTAATGTTTAAGCGACCATTTCTCTGTTAGCATCCAAATGAGCCTTTTACCTTGTTCTCCCACTTCTAAGAATTGATGCAAATGAAATAATCTGAAATATGGGGAATAAGCTATGAGCCTTCCTTCAAGTGAGCCTTTTTTCACATGAGAAATCATGTCATAAATGTACAAGTCAGTGGCTACTAAGTGACTTAAGATGCACTGGTCCGTGGGAATGTTATGCAGCTGTTAAATACATACTGTAGATATGATGGGAAAGTGCTTATAAAATGGTCTTAGTGAGGGTATACAATCATATCTACACTAATTAGACTACATTAAAATAGATATGTGAAATAAAAACAAAAATGCAGTACTGGTTTTCACCTGAAGTTTTGGCAGTAATAAAGAAAATGTAGCCTCATGGGCAGGGATGCAGCAAGATCAACATTTCTGGGCCTCCCTGGTGGCGCAAGGGGTTCAGACACAACCTATGAAGCTGTCCGCAGCCACTGCAGCACAAGTTCGATCCCCCAGCTGGTCAGGAAGCTACCCACATGGCACAGCAGACCTCTCCTGACTTACCCACTGCTCCCCTCAGCAGTGTGCTTCACTCAGTCTGACTGTTCGGCTCCCCACTCTGTCTCTGGTAAACCCTCTCACCCCCCCCCCACATCTCTTGGCCTGTACCCCAGCTCTTGTATGCATAAATAAAATAAATCTTTTAAAAATTGAAATAAATCTTTAAAAAAAAGTTAATAATGATTTTGTTGATTTTTTTTCTTTTTAAAAAAACATTTTGTATCATGGATATATTACTCATAAAAAATTTAAAAAGAAATAGCTAGTTATAAGCTATCTATCTTGGTAATTCTGGAAGCTAATGTTCATGTGACTTTCGGAGGAGATGGGACCCTGGTGGGGGCGTCAGCTGCTTGCATGCAGCCTGAGGAGCCCCAAGAGCTCAAGAGGAAGCCGCTAGCAAGGGTGATCTCTGAAAGAGCGAGACTTTCTCCCAGTAATGATTAGCTCTTTAGTTTTGAGATTTCTTCTGTTGTCGTTGTTAGGCAATTTTATAATATTTTAAACTTGCAAAGTGTGCTTACATTACTTGTGTAAGAATAGAAAAGGAGGGCCTCCCCGGTGGCGCAGCGGTTGAGCACTGGGCTGCAAAGCTGCCTGCAGCCTCTGCAGCACCAGTTTGATCCCCGGCCGCCGGGCGAGGGTCCCACATGGTGCGCAGACCTCTCCTGCCGCCCACTGCTCCCCTCAGCAGTGTACTTCATCAGTCTGCCTGTTCTGTTCCCCGCTCTGGCTCTGGTGAATTCTCTCACCCTCCTGTGCTTCTGACTGTACCCAGTGCTTGTGTAAATAAATAAATAATTCTTTAAAAAATAATAATAATAAAATCTTTTAAAAAAAAAGAATAGAAAAGGAGAAGTGTGATGTGGTAACATATATCTGAAGAGGTATAAAACTGTCTCTGACTCATACAGTGTTTTGAACCCGTGTTACCTCAATAAAGAAAAAAAGAGAGAAAAGGAAAAATACAATTGTATTTCTGTATTTTAAGTGTTGAGAACCAAGACTTTCCTGTTCTCTGCATTTTCTCAAAAGCCACAAGATCAAAAACACTTCATTGCTTCCCTTTTTTACTAATTTCCTTTTTCTCTCTGCCTCCACAGGAAGGAAGAGGGAATGGTTTAAAGTAGAAGATGCCATAAAAGTGCTGCAGTGTCACAAGCCTGTGCAGGCATCATATTTTGAAACGTTGAGGCAAGGCTACTTAGCCAACAACGGCACCCCAGTCGTGACCACCACATACGCGGTTTCCTCTCAGACCTCGATGTCGGGCATCAGATGACTGAAGACTCCCTGTAAGAAAATTGGAAATTGGAGACTAGACTGACGTGCAGCTCTTTCCTCCCACCCCCGCTCTTTTCACCTCCCCTTACAGGCCTCCTCTTTTCAAATAAGGCATGACGGGCAGCAGAGAAAGGGTTTATTGATAATGTAACTGTTTGGTGTTAAGTGATGGGGCTTTTTCTTCTCTTTTTATTGAGGGGGTGGGATCGGGTATGTAATTTGTAAGTACTTCATGCATGATAGATCTGTCCCTCCCTTTTGCGACCCCCCAGTTCTCTAAGAGAGGCGAACAGCCTTCCCTCTGCCTTGGATTCTGAAATGTTCCTGTTTGTCTCATCCCAACCCTGGCCAGACACTTTTCTTTGATTTTTTTATTATTATTATTTTTTAATTAAAAGATAAGATGAGATGAAACCTTTCAGGCATTTGTCCTGTAATGTGCTGTTCAGTTCAGTAGGATGATCACCCTCACCGCAGGTTACATTTATCTACACATTATATACTGGGCATATAATATGTAAATAAATGACTTCTAGAAGAAGAACTTAATTTTAATTTTTCAAGATTCTGTTTTGTTTTTTGCATTTGGGGTGTTTCTGAAATGGAGAGCCTCGCAATTAATTTGCGTTTTTGTTTTTCATGCTAGTTGCTAGGCAAGTTTACCCCGTCCTCTTTCTTTTCCCCAACCACTGATTGTAGTCATGTCGGGTGTGGGAGGACTTTCACTACCTTCATCGTGCTCCCAGGACTCATGGCGTTCTCTCGAAGCTGTGCTTTCATGCCAAGAAAGAAATGGGGAGAAACATTTTTTTTCCAGGAGCAAATGGCCTCAGCCCTGATCCGGAGAAACGGTGATAGAAATTGAATTCCTCCCTGCATGTTGACAGTAGGGATTTGAACTGGATACTTGGGATTACGATCAAAAAAAAACTGGAGCATCGAGCACTGTTTCTGTCCTGCTGGTTTGGAATTTTTCCATAACGCTATTTATCGCCAACAACAGCCTCTCTCCTTGTGCATACACGCCTTACACCGTGCTGAACTGGATATTGTCCTTGTGCTCTGAAGCATCCAAGTGTACTTGGCAAATGCAGCTGTACAGTCCTGAGTTCCTGAAAAGTACACAGGAGGAAAATTCAGGTGTTTGCTTGTCTTTGTAATATTATAGCACTTGCAATTGCGCCATGGAGCATGCTCAGAAATCTTAAATTTATCTCTCCCTGGGATGTAAAAGATCCATCTTCTGCCGAGAAGTGGTGTGGGAGAATGCTTAGTCATTTACTAGAACAGCTATATAATGCATTGGCTCGCTGCAAAATGTCTTGTTGGTTTTGGTAGAGGCTTCATTTGCTAATTGTGTTGTTTAGTTGGGCAGTAAGCAGAAAAGGGTCTTGAGATGCTGCGAGAGGCGACTGGGAGGGGGGCACTGATGGAACCCTGGCTTGGGACGGGAGTTTGTTGCTGTCCTCTCAGTGGCATCTCCTTTGTCAAAACATAGCCAAGATGTGAAATTAAAATCGAAGTTCTCTTTATTTAAAAGCTCCAATAAATACTCAAACTTTGAAAAGCATGTGCTCTTCCCTCCTCCTAAGAGAAATGTGTACATCTGGTAGGCCTGTGGCATTCAGTGGTCAGCATTTTGAGGGACATCAGGTGATGGTGAACCTTAAATTTTGCTATTTAGTCTCGATTTGCAGCCTGTCTCCCAGTCTTGAAATACAGTCAGAAAGTAGTGCCTGCGGTTTCCTCAGGACGCCATCCTGCCTCTGGGAAAGTGATAGGAGCAGCGCATTGGGAATTAAGTCTCACAGCCAACTCCACTGTTCAAGTCCTACTTAAAAAACAAACACCCTGCTGCTGGTTGCCTGATTCAGGGCATTCCCATTCTCACTTTCTGTCCAAATAAATAAAGGGGAAAATAAAATAAATTCAAGTAAATGCTAAGTAGAATCCCTAAAATACGTTCTTCCAAATCAGTTCTGTCTTTATAATATGGAATAAAAGTGCTTTGCAGGAAAACAGTCCACCCTCCTCAAGAAGGAACTGCAGTGTTACTAGTAATTTGTGGATTTTTTATGATCTGAAGATGTTTTTACTGGGCTGATGTAACGGCGCACTACCCTGAAAAAATCCAATATGGATTGTTGTCGGTGTCATTGGGTCAGGAAAGTGAACCGTGCCAAGATGTATTTTTTAGTGACATGAATGGATGCTATTTAATGCAGTTAACTGAAGAGATTGTGCTAATGCCTTCTTAGCTGACAAAAGGAGGTTTTGTCCAACACCAGAATTGTTGCAACTGATGCTGTTTTTTTTTTTTTTTTTTTGCACTGAGATTCTGATGAGCAGGGCCTGGTGTTTTTCCCTTCCTGGCACCATAAACACCATGGCTGGCTGTGTGGTCACAGTGCTTTTGTGATAGATTAGTTAGACCCTTGGTTGCAAAAACCTTGATCTCTCCCTAAAGAAAGGAAGGAGAAACAACACAAAGCACAAAAATTACCCTAATTACAGAATATTTCGGTGACACCGATTTGCCCCTTACTCGGCTGGTACACTGTACTTAGCTCCTGTGTTCAGAGCAGACATAAAGTCTTGCTCACAGTGAAACTGAGCGTTCCAGATTCTGGTTATTAGAGTCCACCATACTCTGTTTACAGAGAAAGGTCTCAACAGGTTATTTTTTAATTAAAATTTGTTTTTAGTTTATAAATTGCAGTTATTGCTGCAAATGTTTGCAGTCTTTTTGGAGCAGGACACACACACACACACACACACGCACTCTCCCTTTCTCTCTCTCTCTCTCTCTCCCTCCCTCCCTCGCTGACTCCCTCCCTCTCCATAAGATAGACAGGAGAGCTACCATGAGTCAGCCATGTTAGATTTTTTTATAGCCTTCCTGCATACTGCAGTCCACGAGACGGAAGTCTAGATTTTTCTCATAGCAAAATAACAGGATGGAAAAATGAACGAGTTGACTCTGTTTTGTTTTTACAAGTGTCTGCTGCCCCATCTGCCCTGCATGGCGTGTGCTCCCTCACTGCTGAGTCTGAGCGGAGGCCATCTGGAGGGATCAAAGAGTGTGGGTATCAAAGAGTATCACCCCCTCGGAGACTCAGGAAGGCCTAGAAGGTGGTGTCGCTGCAGGATTTCCGCCTCCGCCTCTGTGGTGGGTGCAGTGCTGTGGAGCAGCGAGGCACGCAGGCCTTGCTTCTTGTGGCCTCCGGGGAGCCCAGGAGGTCACTGCCCTCTGGGGCTGTTTTGCGGCAGTGTTGTGTGTTGCTACATAGTCAAGTTCCTTTATCGCAACGAAGCTTTTCTGTTTTGCTGTTTGGAGTTTCTTCGCCTTGCTTCTTAGAAGGAAAAATGTTCCACACAGAACTCCTTCTCCTCCTCCTCCTCTCCTTCCCCACCTCAGTGCTCATCGAAAGCTCCTTCTAAACCTCTTTAACCAGGGGAGGAGTCAGTCTATTTGTTGGACTGTTGTTTGGTGTGTGTTTTGCACATTGTACTTACACATTTGTCATTTCCGTCGAGTGCTGTGTTAATGCCTGTGGAGGTCTCACCAGATGTTTTTTAAAAACAATTTAACCCGAGCCACGTTCATTTTGTTAGTTCACAAAAAGGGTTTAATAGCCACAGTTTAAATTTTGCCACAACTGTGTGATTTTTAATATTTCTGAAGTGTCTTCTAAGCCCATCGTAGTTGAGAATAGATTTAGAAGTAGAAGAAATCCTGGGAGAAGTCTCTACTGTGTGAGATGAACTTGGCTTTAAGAGAAATGAGGGATAGCTATCCTTGATGATGTAGCTTCATCCTGGTCTTACCTGCATTGACAACATAATCTATGTCTTTATTTAAAAAAAAAAAATAGACTGGCAGGACAGTTAACTCAAGCAGCTCTAGGAAGAGGAGGCTTATTTAATGGTGATTAGAACAAATGCAAATCACTCTTTTAATTCTTACTCTTGAAGACTCTAGAAGAGACTTCGGAGCCCCAGAGCAATGCCGTTCACGCTGCCCATTTGAGGTGCAGTTGTCCCTTCTGAGCCCAGCTGGGGTAGAGCCTGTTTGCCCAAGACTGAGAGAGCTTTCTAGACTGCAGCTGCTGGTGTCAGTGTGCTCAGCCTTGTTCAGTCAGAGCACCTGCCTCTGGGTTCTGTGGTGAGCACTGCGGCAGAGGCCTGCCCACCCAGGAAAGCTGTGTTTCCGTGTTACTGTAGACGGCACCTAGCACAGTGAGACATTGGGGATTTTCAGGTAAAATGTAAAATGGGAAACATTGACTGCAGTTCATAAAAGATACTGTTGTGTGTGCGTCAGGTTGACTTGAGGTCACCTCAGGTCCTGGGAACCCGGAGATTTCAGGCAGATTCTCCTGCAGAAGCCAGCTGCCTTCTTGTAGCGCAGCTTCACATTTTGACCACATTTTTTCATTGATAGCCTTTTCAGGGATGTGAGAGGCCTAATCGGGACATCTAAGAAAATGATACTGCTCACCATTAGATTAACCAAATACTTTGTCCTCCCAGTCCCTGAAGTTAATAAATAAAAAGAGAAAGAATCCTGTTTGGTGTTGATTTGGGGCCACATGACACTGTACAACATGAAACTTTTTAAGTGAAAAAGGCAAGTCTCTGCCCTAAAACTTTGTTTGTAGGGAGGATTGGATGACCTAGAGCTTGTGTTAGGATAGGAGCCGGTCTGCCCTGTGAGGGGAGCTCAGAGACAAGCCGTGGATTAACTGAATCCAGTAGACCAGAAGGGGCTCTCGGAAGAAGAAAGTGCTTTTGGCTGAAAAAGCAAGATAATTATCTAAATGATTGAGAGTCATTGCCTCTGTTCCTTTAGCAATCGGTTGTTTAATTAATTACTGCAGGTTTCCTTTGCTTTCTGTTCCAGCTCATAACCCTGAACAGGGGCCACTAGGACACCAAAAAGGCATTTAAAACCCTGGAGATAAGCTTTAAAGGATAAACTACACTGTTGTTCATCACCATTTTAATGCGTTTCCCAATCTTCCAGCCCCACTGCAGCCAGACCAATGTGAAGATTCAATTAATCATTGAGTCAGGGAACTTACATGCTGGTTCTGGAACAATCTCCTGCTAAATCACCTACCATCTGTGGAGTTTATCTGTGGGGTGTGCCTTTCAGAAAACATCTCAACAATATCATGAAGTCATTCTTGAGGTCCTGCTTAGGCATTTAGATCAAAATCTTAAGTCTTTGGAGAGGGGGGCAAGGAAAGGGAAGTCTCAGGGGAAAGAAGTGAGTTGCCTCAGTGCCAGGGTTGCGCCTGAGGCTGCGCTCCCCTCTGTCGTGTGGGCTGAAGTGGCTCAGCTCACTGCCAGGAAATCTTTCCGCCAGGGAGCTCACCTGCGCAAGCCTGCCTTTCTGAGCACTTTGTGCTGAATGGAAATGTTAACCTCGGGCAGCAACAGATCCCCGTAGCCTCTTTCACCTCTCTCTCCCTTTGAAAAAAAAATTTTCAGAGTTGAATATTGCTCTTTGACTTCTGTTTGTTGTGCAGAAAG